TGAAGAAGGGGTTCCTTATACAGTCCTCCATCCCTATATGCCTATTAGTTTAGGGGCATTGAAGAGATCTTGGATCCAGTTAAGGGAAGAACGAGATACCTACAGAGAGAAGTATCATGAGCAGGAACGAAATATCTTGAAGCTTACAAGGCAGCTTGAGAATGAGAGGACAATCAACGATTATGTCAGCACGAAAAGAAAACGACCATGGGAGTTCTGATGACTTTTATTGTTTCTAAGTTAGATTTGCTTTTCAGTATTTATTTTGTAACGCCTTAAAGGCATTTATTAAACATTGTTACAAGTTTTTATCTAATAAAGTGTGTTTTATTTTGGTTTACAAATTTGAATCTCCCTAAATCTTTGAAATCATTTCATACGCATTCCATTACCATGCACCTCATCACAAGTACCATTATAGGTTTCTTATCTTCTTCGCTGTTTATTTCAGCATAACATGTCTTCTGAAACACCTACTGATCAAGCTATTAAGGCTCTTCAAACTCAGAATGCTCAGTTCCAGGAAATGTTCCTGAACCTGGCCAAAGGGCAGCAAGATTTGATGACTCTCATCTTGAAGGACAAGAAGAAGAAGAAGAAGAAGAAGAAGAAGAAGAAGAAGGTGGTTCTGCTGAATATGGGTCGCAGGTTCGGGAACAACTTGCGACAGGAAACTGATTTGTCTCATTCATCTGGAGGAGGAGAGAATCAAGAGGAAAGGAGGGCTCCTAGCCCTGTGGTTTCTGACAATGACACCGATTTTGATAAAGACCAGTACCCTCCTGCTGAGGATAGGTATAAGCAACTTGAAGACCGTATGAGTGTCGTGGAGATTCAGAAGGTTCCCAGTTTGGATTTTGGAGATCTGGGATTAGCATCTGGGGTGGTGATTCCTCACAAGTTTAAGGCTCCTGTCTTTTCTAAGTATGACGGGGTATCCTGCCCAAAGCTACACCTCCGCTCATACGTCAGAAAGATTCAACCGTATACTGCTGATAGGAACCTTTGGGTTCATTTCTTTCAAGATAGTCTGTCAGGGACTCAACTTGAATGGTTCTATCAACTGGAAGGAGCTAATGCCCGCAATTGGGAGGACCTTGCTGTTGCTTTTTACAAGCAATACCAGTATAATGCCGACCTTGCTCCCATGCGTACTCAACTTCAGGGTATGTCCATGGGTGCGAGTAAAGGTTTTAAGGACTACGCTCAGAAGTGGAGAGATCTGGCTGGAAGAGTACAACCCCCTCTGTCTCATAGGGAGTTAGTGGATATGTTTCTTGGGACTTTGTCTCGTCCATATTTTAACCATTTGATCGGTAGTTCATTGTCTGGGTTCACTGAATTGATTATGACTGGGGAAAGAGTGGAAGCTGGTATTAGAAGTGGCAAGATACAAAAAGGTGCTTCATCAAGTACAGAAAAGAAGCCTTTCAAGAAGGAATCTAGTGTAGTTTATAGCTCGAGGAGCCAAAACCGACCTGAGCGCCGCCAAGCAGTGAATGTGGTGGTAATATCAAGACCTATTGTTGCCCCACAATGCAACAACCAGTAAAGAGTAGAGAGACCGCAAAGACAATATACTCGGCTCAGTATGACCTTATCTCAAATTTTACCGTAATTGTTGAAGACTAACCTGGTGACTCTGAGAGAAGCTCCGAAGAATCCCAGTACTACATCACCGCTGTATAATCCGAACACCCACTGCGCTTATCACTCTGATAGCCCAGGGCATGATACCAACAACTGTTGGGCCTTGAGGAATATGGTGCAGGATTTGATTGAAGCTAAAGAAATCGAGTTTGACGCACCAAAAAAGCCTAATGTCATAATTGCTCTTATGCCCAAGCATGGAGTAAATGTTGTGGATGATGATTCGTTTGTGACTTCTGTGGAAGACATTTCTACTCCATTGTTGACCGTTAAGAAGAACCTATTGTTGGCCGGTTTATTTCTGGGTTGTGGCGAAGGTTGCCACCTGTGTTCCATCCTGCTGCTGGTTGTCATTTGTTGAAATCAGGTGTTCAGCGCCTGATGGATAACAAAGAGATCTTGTTCGAGAAAACTTTGGTTCCGTTGATTCCTGTTGAAGATGTTTCCATAATCACCAATTCCGCCAATTCTTCCAAGGCTTCCTCGAGAAAGCTTGTTAGGATTACATCTGTTCCAAGAATTGCTCCATTGATCATTACTATTCCTGGTCCTATCCCTTACACTTCGGATAAGGCTGTCCCGTGGCACTATGAGGCTGATGTGTATTATCATGGGATTAAACAAGACTTGAAGGTTGAAGAGGCTGATACTGATGTCAGCAATATTGTCGGGTCTAGCAAGGTCACCCGAAGCGGAAGACGTTTCTCTCCTGAGATTTCTCCTCCAATTGTTTGAAAGCCTGTTGTCATTCCATCCGCCAGTACGTCAGCTGCTGTTCCAATTCTCACTCCAGTTATCACCCCTGTCGCAGAGTCATCTGACGCTCGGGGCAAAGAAGTCACTGGTGGGCCTGCCCGGATGGAGGCACCTAAAAAAGTCATTGTTGAAACCTCTAGGCAGGAGATAGAGGAAATTTTGGAAATTATCAAGAAAAGCGACTACAACGTAGTCGAACAGCTGGGGCAAACCCCGTCGAATATCTCCATGTTATCTTTATTGTTTTGATCAGAAGCCCATGCTAAGGCTTTAATTGCTTTCCTTAAAACTGTGCATGTGCCGCAGGAAACATCTGCTGATCAGTTCAAAGACTGTGTGGCTAGTTTGACCGCTGACAACGGGTTGGGTTTCTCCGACACAGATTTGACTGCCAAAGGAAGTAATCACAATAATGCTCTACATGTCTCGATCGAGTGCAGGGGCACTACTTTGGCCCATGTGCTGGTGGACACTGGGTCCTCACTAAATGTTTTACCCAAGAAAGCATTAGATCGGCTGGATTGTGAAGGGTTGGTTCTGAAGCCAAGTAATATTGTGGTTAGGGCCTTTGACGGGTCCAAAAGGATGCTACATGGAGAGGTGGATGTCCCTGTTAAGGTTGGTTCCCAGACTTTTGCATATACGTTCTATGTGATGGACATTCGACCATCTTATTCTTGCTTGTTGGGTCGCCCATGGATTCATAAAGCTGGGGCAGTAACTTCTACACTCCATCAGATGCTAAAGTATCCAGTAAAGGGGAAGATTGTTACAGTGCAGGGTGAGGAGGAGTACATGGTAAGCCACCTTAACTCATTTCGGTATGTAGAGATGGATGGGGAGTTCATAAAAACCCCGTGCCAGAACTTTGAAGAAGTCCCCCAGACTCTGGCATCGACTGAAACTGTTGCTGAAGATCCTCCGATGAAAATGGCTTCCCTCAAGGATGCTAGGGATCACTACAACATTTGTTATCTCTGGCAACACTTTTTTAGGTAACATGTAGAAATTGTTGCCTTAAATTCATATAGACAACGATTTACGATTGTTGTCAAAAATATTTTTGCAACCCTTGATAATCGTCACCTAAAATACTTTTGGGGACGTTTATGGAGCGATACTCTTTTATTTTTTTGCCAACGGTTGTTAATTATGCCCTTAACTGCTTTTGGGGACGATTTTAGAGCGTTAAAATATTATTTCTTTAGCAATGTTTGACAATTGTCCCCTAAAATATTTTTGGGGACATTTTTAGATTGTTACATTAGTTCTAATAAAAGGCTACAGTTCTGAAATGTTGTATAAATTTTTTTAGAATTATCAAGTTTTTGGTGGCAATCTTCCCTCCAAAACTTATACACTAAAAAACAAATATTTTTCTCTAAACATTATTAATATATATATATAAAAAAATATTTTTCTAACACAGGAATTTAAAATCCTAATAAAATAAACATATAAAAAGAGCAAAGAGGTTACAGTAGAAACAAATGGGAGGAACCACCCATATCTAATATATCTAATATATATATATATATATATATATATATATATATATATATATATATATATATATATATATATATATATATATATATATATATATATATATATATATATATATATATATATATATATATATATATATAGACACATTCCACTCTCTTTATAAAAATAAAAAGGAAAAAACTTCCTATTAAAAATAAAAACAAAAGAAGACCAAACTTTAAGAAACAGAACACGTTAACCCAAACCTCAGTATTCTTTCTTTCTCATTTTTTTAGATCTTCTGCTAACCTTCCTCCTCTATATCTCTTCATTTTTCTTAACTTAACAAATCTCCCATAAATTAAAATTAAACAAACAAGCCATCGAAAGGTGAAAGTATTGTACCTGAAACCCAGAATCGTTGGTGGGTTGCGGGTTGTTGTTACACTGGATCTAGATGGAGGGGTTTGTGATCGTGTTGGTTCTGTGGAAGAACGTATGGACTGTGGATCTCGGAGTGCGCCGTGGTGGTTTACTTTAGTGACAGTTCTCGGTGCTACAGGGCGTTTGTCGGCGTCGCGTGTTGTTTCTGGTGCATTGTGGACTCGCGGCTGCGATTGGAGCGGAAGGCTGGAGTCTCAAGTCTGCGCGATTTAGAGTGTGGTAAGGATGGAAGAGGAAACTTATTCTTCCCACTTCTTTTTGACTTCACATTGTTTTCTGCTACGGTTATGATATTATTGTCATCTAGAATTCACTGTTGGGTTAAAGGTCATGAGTTTGTGTGAGTTTTGGTTTTTGTGTGTATAAGCGCTACTAATATTTTCATTGTTATAGTAAGATAGAGTTAGGTCAAATTTTAAGAGTTGCAAAGAGGAAAATTCAAGAGTCGATGATCTCCTTAGAACTTGTAAGTACTTAAAGTACTTGCAAGTTACTTCTCTTGACTGAATATACACGAGAAGTGTTGCCTCTTTACTAGAGCAATGAAAATTAAGGCTATATGATACTTGTGGTTGGACTGCAAAAATACGAAATATTCTTCATAGATATTTCTTCTTAATATATATACTCAATCTTTTTTTCCAAATCGTATTGCAGGAGAGATGATTGTAGGTCCCATAAAAGCACTTTTTATGGATGAAATATCAACTGGCTTAGACAGCTCCACTACTTTTCAAATAGTTACATGTCTCCAGCAATTGGTGCACATCAATGATGCAACAACAGTGCTTTCACTCCTCCAACCAGCACCAGAAACCTTTGAGTTGTTTGATGATCTTATATTGATGGAAGAGGGGAAGATAGTATACCATGGCCCCTGCAGTCAAGCACTCCAGTTCTTTAAGGATTGCGGTTTCTGGTGCCCTGAAAGAAAAGGAGTGACAGACTTTCTTCAAGAGGTAGGAATAGAAACTGTGTCCCTTACCATTGCGCCAAAGTTCAAGTGATTTTACTCATAGTTTCACGAATTACAAATTTCATGCGCACGCAGGTAACCTCTAAGAAGGATCAAAGGCAATACTGGTACCGCACGGATATTCCTTGCAGTTATGTTTCAGTGGATGAGTTCTCTCAAATTTTCAAAACAAGCTACTAGGGAAGAATGTTAGTTGATGAGCTCTCACAACCATATGATAAATCTCAATCCCATGAAAGTTCTTTATCATATAGCAAGTACTCCTTAGGAAAATGGGATTTGTTTGAAGCTTGTATGAAGAGGGAGATTCTTCTCATGAAACGAAACTCGTTTATCTATATATTCAAAACTGTGCAGGTTACTATCAAATTCAAGTTCAATTCAACTCAGCTAAGTCGTACTCGAACATATAAAATCTAACTTGCTTATTTTTTCGCTTGTTTTGCAGCTTACAATCACTGCAATCATAACAATGACGGTCTTTTTGCGCACACAACTTGACGTGGACTTGTTAGGATCAAACTATTTATTAGGTTCACTGTACTATACACTTGTACGCCTAATGGCAAATGGAGTTTCCGAGTTGATAATGACTATTACTAGACTACCCGTTGTTTATAAGCAGAAAGCATTCTATCTCTATCCAGCTTGGGCTTACTGTCTTCCAGCTGCCATACTAAAGATTCCATTTTCAGTCCTTGATTCTCTTGTTTGGACATCAATAACATATTATGTTATAGGCCACAGCCCAGAAATAACAAGGTCTGTAACTCGTGTATATGTAAGTATAGTCAAACTTTTTCTCTTTTCTTTTGCAAGTTTTTTCTTATATATTTATTATTGAATCAGGTTCCTCCGCCAGTTCCTTTTGCTTATCGCTCTGCACATGTCATCAACCTCTATGTGTCGTTCCCTTGCTGCAGTTTTTAAAACTGATGTTGCAGCTACAATTGTTGGTTATTTGGTCTTAGTACTCATGTTCTTGTTTGGAGGCTTTATTCTTCCTCGACGTAAGCCGCTTTATATCGTCTCAGTTATAACATGTGGTAGTACTAAATTACTAATTACCAAGTTACTCATCATGGAGTTTATTCTCTGCAGCATCATAACCAAAGTGGTTGAGGTGGGGTTTTTGGATTTCTCCCATGTCATATGGGGAAATAGGAATAACACTCAATGAATTTCTTGCTCCTCGCTGGCAAAAGGTATCTTCTAAGATAATTTATTTGGTTTCATGATAGGTCACAATATACGTTTATATGGATCTAATTCATATACATTGTCAGGATGATAATTTTTTATATTGTCAATGAATCATAATCGGAAGATCATTACAAATATTTGACGTTTATTCTAAATACTACTGAAGTCACGCATATAACTGGTTGTAATTTGTTTACAGTGTAAAACTTTTTACAAAGACGGTGTATCAACATGAATCTCCAGTTATATATTTATATTTACTATCGTTATTTTCATCATCATTATTTTTCAGATTCAAGAGGGAAACATCACCGTTGGAAGAGAGGTTCTCAAGAGTCGTGGTTTAGACTTTGATAGCAACTTTTTCTGGATATCAATTGCAGCATTACTTGGTTTCGCAGTAGTATTTGATATCCTATTTGTAGTAGAATTAACTTACTTAAAAGGTGAGTCCTATCCATGATATTACAAGGAAAAGTAATTGTATGTAACATTGTTTATATAATACGTTTGCTTAATATAATCGGCCAACATTGTCTATAATAGTAGCTAATTTTTTTTTTTTGTAATTTATGCTAGTCCCAACTTCAAGAAATGGTTGAAAAGGAGGAAAGTGATACAGAAGCTTTTAAAGTTTTTTTTGGAAAGGAGTGTCTAGGCAGGGTACGCTGTTATGGGAGAAACATAACTAAAACTTCCTTAAAGAGAAAGGCAGAGATTAATGCTTTGAAACAAGCCCACAATGAAGAGGTCTCTACATTAAGGGACGAGTTTCAAGATATGATTGATAGATTGCAAAATGCTTTTAAGACTGTAATACAACAATGCAATCCTCAAATTAATATAGAGTCAATTGAAGATTTGTTAGGATTATCTCATGGAGATGCTAATAGTTCCCCAAAGGATATAAGACCGCAAATGCATTCATCTACATCAACTCATTCTCCATGTAATGGAAAGGTAACCATATATACCAATATTATTGATTTATATTTTTCTAATTATGTTATAGTATCAAAATGGTTGTTAATGTATGCAAAAATTTGCAAGTAGTGACAACACCTAGAATAAAGTAAGTGGTTGAAATTGTTTAAGTAGTGACAACACCTAGAAGTGGCTGAAACTGTTTTATTTGTGCGAGCTTTCATTGATATTTCACAAACATACTTGCCTGGGATAAGATTATGGGACCCCCTTGTTTGATAACACTCACTATGTATGCTGTAAATTTATCCATATGATACTGAACACCAAAGAAGATACAACAAGTAAGAGTGTTCATCAGAGTTCATTTACTCCAAAAAATAAACATAAAAGGATAGCACAAGTTATACATACATACATACATACATACAGTTAAAGGCTATTGTAAGTCCTGAATAGTGAGCCAAAAACAGAATGGTTTTCATAATTGATTTATTTGCTAGTAAGCTCATGTCACCTATTACAGTTTAGAACGAAAATTCACATCCATTAAAAACCTTCATAATTAATTCACATCCATGAGATGTGAAGAATATAAACAATGTGTTTTGCTCATTGGTTTAGTTTTTATTTGTGCGAGGTTTAATTCTTGTTGATGTCTTAATTGTCCTTTGGACCAAAAATACTTATGGTTAATGTGTTTTATTTTATTTTCTTATGCAGCAATGTATCAATGAAGATGTTGAAAAGGACGATATAAATGATGAAATCCAAGAGGACGACATAAATGATAAAATTCAAGAGGACGACCTAAATGATAAAATTCAAGAGGACGACGTAGATGACGAATTTCAAGAGGACGACATAGATCTAGATGATGAATTTCAAGAGGAGGATATATATGGTGAATTTCAAGAGGACGACGTAGATGAAGAATTTATGGAGGATGACATATCTAACGAATTTCAAGAGGACGATCTGGATGCTTTACTCCTAGAAGACAAACTTGAATGAGTTGGATGATGTCTTTTTTTTGGCTTGTAGTTGAAAGCATTAAACTTGAAATATGATTTTTGTTCTTTTGCTGAACTATGTTTTTAGTTATTTTACTAGGGTCATACTTCAAAGTATTAAAAGTAATATTGTTACGTTAGGCATTTTGTGTACTCTATATACTATATCTTGAATTAAAGTTTGAACTCGATTTTATTATATTACAACTTTTATGGATGTATGGTTTAAGTTATATAATCAATATTATTTTTGAAGCCAATTATTATTGACTATATTATTTTGATAATAATTGCAAAATTGTATATTTTATGTGGACACTATAAAACAACAACCTATAAGTTATGGCTACACTTCAAAAACGATCTTCCTAATTCAGGTTTAAGGCAGCGATTGTTAATTGTAGCCGAATTTGGCAACACAACGCTTAAAAAACGTTGTCTCAGAGGCCGTAAATAATCGTCCCCTATTCCTTTACTATAGGCGACGTTTTTCAAAAGCGTTCCCAAAAAACATAAAAAAACGTCGCCTCAAACAATAGGCAATGCTCGCACAGGAGACGCCTAGAAAACGTCCCCTATTGTTTTAGGCAACGATTTTCAGAGTTCTGGCAACGTTTTCCAATTGTTGCTGGAGAGCCTAAATGTTGTAGTGGATGTTGTTGAAAAAGGTGGGTGTGCAAATTGGGCCAACTCCCTGACTTTGCACACAAGACTGACAAGTTTGGTTTGGGTTTTACTGCAGAAGCTCAAAGGGTTGTTCGGCATGCGCGGATTGGAAGACCTCCCCTGCGCATCAGTAATCCGAGAGTGAATGCTATTGAAGATGATGATGAAGATTCAGATTTCGACATCTGGATTTACCCGACTACCAATGGTGGCTTGAACAATTGGACGGTGAAGGAATTCGTGCTAGTTTCTTTTATTACATAGTAATAGACTTTTGTTTTGAGACTTGTAACAAACAATTTGAAACTTTTACGGCCCGATGCCTTACCCGAGACACCGTGGCTCTATTTGTGAGGGCTTATTACGTATCATTTCCATATATCATCAATAAAGCATTGGAAGTTTTTCTTGCATTACAAATTTTGCGCTCCTTGTTTTTCCCTTTATATCTTGCACTTTATAAAAACATCTATTTGTCTTACACACACTCACATATCATAATACAGGTCCACATCCACTCTGGATCCCACTGATAACGACTCTGCTACTGCCAGTTATGACTTCGAAAATCCGATCAACCAAGCCGAGGACGAAGGTGAGGATGATTGTGAAGTGCCTGGGGAGCTTACTAGACTGTTACTTCAGGAAGAGAGGGCCATACAGCCGCATGAAGAGCCAGTAGAAACAGTAAATCTGGGTACCGAGGAAGACAAGAAAGAGGTCAAGATCGGTGCAAATCTGGAGTCTAGTATCAAGCAATGGTTGATACAGATGCTGTGTGACTATGTTGAGATCTTTGCCTTGTCTTATGAAGATATTCCTGGGTTGGATACTGATATTGTGGTTCACCGCTTGCCAACTAAGGAAGATTGTCCTTCGGTGAAGCAGAAGGTTCGCCGAATGCGCCCCGAGATGTCTGAGAAAATCAAAGTTGAGGTTATGAAACAGTTTGATGCCGGTTTTCTAGCAGTTACTTCTTATCCACAGTGGGTTGCCAATGTGGTTCCGGTGCCGAAGAAAGATGGTAAGGTTCGGATGTGTGTGGACTATAGGGATTTGAATAGGGCGAGCCCCAAGGATGATTTCCCTCTACCTCATATCGATGTTCTGGTTGACAACACCGCACAGCATAAGGTCTTCTCCTTTATGGATGGTTTTTCTGGTTACAATCAAAGTAAGATGGCTCCTGAGGACATGGAGAAGACAACTTTTTTTACGCAGTGGGGTACCTTTTGCTACAAAGTCATGCCTTTTGGATTGAATAATGTTGGGGTAACGTATCAGCGCGCTATGGTTACTTTGTTCCACGACATGATTCATCATGAGATTGAGGTTTACGTTGACGACATGATTGCAAGATCCCAGACTGAGGAAGAACACCTTGACCATCTTCAAAAGCTATTTGACAGGTTGAAGTTGTACAAGATGAGGTTAAACCCGAACAAGTGCACCTTCGGGGTAAGGTCTGGTAAGCTGCTGGGTTTCATCGTTAGTGATAAAGGTATTCAAGTGGATCCTGCAAAGGTGAAGGCTATACAGGAAATGCCAGCTCCCCGAACAGAAAAAGAAGTCAGAGGCTTTTTGGGACGGTTGAATTACATTGCTCGATTCATTTCACATCTGACTGCTACTTGTGAGCCAATCTTCAAGCTGCTGAAGAAATATCAAGTGGTAAAGTGGAATGATGAATGTCAAGCCTCTTTCGAAACGATTAAAGAATATCTCCAAGAGCCACCTATTCTGATGCCTCCAGTTGAAGGGAGACCTTTAATCTTATACTTGACAGTACTCGATAATTCAATGGGGTGTGTGTTGGGGAAGCATGACGAGTCTGGCCGAAAAGAGCATGCTATTTACTACCTTAGCAAAAAGTTTACCGACTGTGAGACCCGATACTTACTTCTTGAGAAAACTTGTTGCGCTTTGGCATGGGCTGCTTACCGGCTGAGACAGTATATGCTGACTCACACTACTCTATTGATATCAAAGATGGATCCAATCAAGTATATCTTCGAAAAACCTGCCTTGTCCGGAAGAATAGCGAGATGGCAGATGATTTTGACTGAGTATGACATCCAATACATAACACAAAAGGAAATCAAGGGGAGTGTGTTGGCAGATCATTTGGCGCATCAGGCCGTAGACAACTACCAATCCATGAATTTCGAGTTTCCAGATAGAACATCATGTTGGTAACTGACTATGAAGAACCTGGACCGAATGAAGGACCTGAGGAAGGATCCCGATGGTCTATGTACTTTGATGGAGCTTAAAACGCTTTGGGAAATGGCATTGGTGTCATGATCATATCTCCTGAAGGCTGTCATACTCCATTTACCGCCCGATTATGTTTCAACTGCACCAACAATATGGCGGAGTATGAAGCGTGCATCATGGGCCTTCGAGCAACTATTGACCTAAGGATTAAGTTCTTGAGTGTGTTCGGAGATTTCACTCTCGTGATCAGTCAGATCAAAGGAGAGTGGGATACGAAGCACCCAAATCTTATTCCTTACAAAGAGTATGTGCTGACGTTGCTTCCACACTTCGAGGAGATAACCTTTGATCACTTCCCAAGAGAGGAGAACCAGTTGGTGGACGCGCTAGCTACGATGTCTTCCATGTTCAAAGTCAGGTGGGACAACGAAGCTCCCCGAATTACCATTGAAAGTTTGGATGAACCCGCATGTTGCTGCGACATCGAGGCTGAAGAGGTAACAGATAAACCCTGGTTTCATGAGGTAAAGAGGTATCTTGAGGCTCAAGAGTACCCCGAGGGTGCATCTGTTAATGATAGAAAGTTTGTGAGGAGGTTCGCTGCAAAGTTCTTCATCAGTAATGGTTTCTGTTGTACCCCAAAATTTTCCCTCTAATTTTATCAGGATTCTCCTCACAAGACTCTTTGGATTCAAGACCAGATTAGGGTTTGCTCAGCTCAAGACATCTCCTTGCACTGATGACCTGAAATTAGGGTTTGAGTTTGCACAAGGATTTTTGGACTTCTAATGCTCAATGTGAATTTCATACTTCATGCTGGACTCCTAAGATTGCTCATACCAAGTTTTAAGCCTTGAATCAAATTTTTGCCCAGTCAATTGGACAGTTGACCTAAAAATCAACTGTATTGGGGAAAAAGTCAATTGTGGCCAATTTACAGTCAAACCTCATAATTCTTTATCCACATCAACATTATAGACTCATATGAACCATTTGATCAAGTTTGGACCACAACTCCTCAAGAAATTTGATCAGATCAACAAAAGGGCAAAATGGTCATTTTTAGGGTTTTGACTGTAGAAGGGTAATTTCTGATTTTTCACCTAGACAATGGCAAATTGGGTTCAAGCATTGTTTCAAGGACTCAATGGCATAATCTTGACCTAATCACAAGGTTCAAAAGATCTCAAATGCATTGGATTGACAGATGAATTTTCCAGTCAACTGATCAAAAATCAACTGTACACTGAAAAGTCAAACTTTGACTTTTTGGTCAAAATCAAGTGCCAAGGGTCATTTTTCATCAAAATGTGTCAAAACATGAAACTTGTTCACCAAGAAACCTAATTTTGAAAATTAGGGTTTAAGATTGAAAATTTTCATAACTTAGAATTTTTCTAAGTTATGAAAATTTCTTATTTTTTCCCAACTTTTCCCAACTTTTTCACCATGATGCAATTGGATTCAAAGAAAACTTCCAACATGAAAGTTGTAGTCCTCCACAAAATCTACAACTTTGATTCACAAAGTTTTCCCAAAATATGCTTCGATCTCAAGTTATGATTTTGTGAATAGGGGTCCATGAAACTTTTAACTTAGTGAAATTTTGCCCTAGTTTAGGCAGATTTTTGACCTAAGTTCATGGCAACTTTTCACATAGTTTCAAGTGTAATCTCAAAATTCATTTCAAAGATGGATTTTATAGCATTTTACAAGCTTTCCAAAATGTCAAAGAACTCTCCAAGATCATTTATGGTTAGGCAGAATCGAAGGAATGAAAATGGCTATTTCTCACTTTTGTCCAAGGCATTTTGCACAAGGTTACAAGTTGCAAATTTGTCCTAAGCATGCTTGTACTTGATTTAAAGCTCTTAAACCTTTCCACACTCCTTAATTGAATGCAAATATAATGGTTAATGGCATTGTTTTGTTCTTTGAAGCTTTGTACAAAGGTTTAATCCAAAAATGGCATAAAGGTAACAATGTTACTTTGATAAAGCTAGCTTTTACAAACTTTGTTTATCTTGAGCCATGGACCTGATTTCTGGTGGCAAAAAAGATCCATAAACATTAGAAAAAGCTCACCAACTATGTGCAAGCCTTGAGCTAGCAAGTACA